AAATTCCCCATTTACACACACTGTCAGCCTCGGAATGCCAGCAGTGGTAGAGGAATGTATTTCCTGATTTTTATTGTTTTTTTTTTCTTCATTAGTGTTTGTTGTACATAGTCATTATATTTAACACAGCATTAATTATTTTTATTTGACTTTTTTTTTGATACCCGGAATTGAACTCCGGCCCTTGAGCTTGGGAGGCAGGCGGTGGAACCACTGAGCTAAATCCCAGGCTCCCATAGTTATTATATTTATCACGGGGAGTTGCGACAGATGCATATCATATCTCAATTCATTTTACCCTTCTTTCTCCTCTCCTTCCTCCCACCACCCCTGTCTTTGGAATCTGATGGAAAGGAGGTTTTGTGAAGGAGCTTGGCTCAGCTCAGCTGAGGGCAGAGTCCTAGGCACTGGCCAGGCCCTGGCCAGGCCCTGGCAGGCGTTAATATGTAGGCCCTGGGGGAGGAGCCAAAGAGCTTTTCCTCCCAAGGCCTTCACTTAGCCCTAATCTTACCGTTAACTCTGGGTGGACCCAGCCACCGTTCCTGGATGTGATAGAGCCAGACTTTGATATTGGTGTCGTAGTGTGCTTTTCCAAGGGAGTTCCACTAGGGTCCGTAAAGGGATGTGACCCGGAGAGTGTATTGAACTAAATGAAGGTGCTCTGGAAGCACGGTAAGGCTTCCTTCCATATGTATGGAGGGCTTCGGCCCAGTCCAGCCCCAGGTGTCAGCCCTGGGTGACCTCAGGCATGGTTCCTGGCTGCAGTATATTTAGACTTACGTCTTGAGGGGGGTTTTCTGTGGCCATTACACTTAGGTCGGCAGAGGGAGTTACCTAGACAGTGTCCGGTACAGAGATGAAGAGGTGGTCCCAGGCCTTACCATGGTTAATGTAAAGACTGGGGATATAAGTCTTTAAAAACATTAAAAATAAGAAAAATGGAATCCAGATCTTCTCTGTTCTTGCTGTCAGTGGAAGGATTGGACCTTGGTGATGGGATGTGTCCCCTTTTCATTTTTGAAAGGGGTTGGGTGTGGTCTCAGGAAGGTGAAAATTTTGGTCTGTTAAGTGTGGACTGAGTTCAGCTGAGGCAAGGACCCGAGGCACGCTGAGGCATGGGTACCAGCCCTGCTGTGTCAAGATGAAGCCTAAAGAACATCTAGGGTCCTTCTGTCCTGCATAGAGGGGTGCAATAGAAACCTACCCCGCTATCATCCCTGGGAAGCCACAGTGTAGCGTTGCCAAATGTTAAATTTATTGAATTCCTCTTAGGGAGTTCGAGGGAGGTGAGGAGTTTCCTGAGGGTTGCATTCTCAGATTAACAGAGGAAACAGCCTTGGGCCCTATCAGGCATTATGGAGAGGAGCATAAAGTGGAACTTGAAGGGACCTTCCGACTTAGGTAGTAGATGCAGCTTCTGTCTACTTTGAGTGTTTCGATTCTAGCGAAGGTAAAAAAGCATCCTGTGGGGCCAGGGATTTAGCTCAGTGGTGCCACCTCCTGCCTCGCAAGTGTAAGGTCCTGAGCTTGATCCCAGGTACCAAAAAAAAAAAAAAAAGGATACTGTGGAATCTGATGGTTCCTTGTTCTCAGCCCTGAGAGTATGCAAATAGAATGAGTTCACACTTTTGTTATATGCTTCCCCAGGAGCCAAGGCCCTGGCGTCTTTCAGGATAGTGAGGACTTGTTTGGCAGTAAGATATCTTACTGACTTGGGAGGGGTATCTTCCAGTAAGTAGAGCATGAGACAGGCCTCGCTGGGAGTAAAGGTATATGTCCTGAGGTAGTACTGAGTAAATTTCTCAATATAACAGAGCCTAGACATGGGTGACTGAATTTATTTCCATTTCACTTTTGTCTGGAGTGTTCCAGGGAGGTGAAAGCCTGGGACTTAGTGTGTGACATCAGCACTGGGAGGAGTTCCAGGATCTGTCAAGAGTCAAGGTAAGGTAAGGACATGAGGACGGCTAACGGTGCTCCTGGCAAATGTAGGAAGAAGGGGCCTCACAGCAGCCACCTTTTCCGTGCTATGAACACTGGGAAGATCTGGGCAGTAGTGGCCAGATGTAGTCTGTTTTCCCTTCTTCCATGAGTTGAATGGGGGTCTCTATAGAGTGAAGTCTTGTTCAGCAGAGACAATATGGATCAGGAAAGGGCAATTGCCACCCTACCAGGAATAGAGTTTAATACCTGTTTTAGTTACTTTCTTGTTGCTGGGACAAAATTCCTATTACCTGCAGTTTAAAGGTAAAAGGTTTATTTTGGCTCATAATTCATTCCATGGGCAGCTGGCTCCAAAGAAGAAAGCATTGCAGAGGGCCATGGGGGAAGAGAGGTTCTCACATCATGGCAGATAGGGAAGCAGAAAAAGTAAAGGGAGAGCCGGGCATGGTGGCACACACCTGTAATCCCAGCACTCGGGAGGCTGAGGCAGGAGGATCCCTGTGAGTTCAAGACCATCCTGGGCTACATAGTGAGTTCCAGGTCAGTCTCAACTACATAGTGAGACCCTGTTTCCAAAAAACCAAAG